AGTTGAGCAGCTCTTCATGGTCCAAAGAGGACTTCTTAAGTAAAGGTGAAACAACTGCTTCTTTCAATGATGTAGGGAGTATAGAAAGTTCCAAAGATAGGTTAACAATACGGGTGATTACAGGATACAACAAATCAGTACACTCCTTCATGATTCGAATAGGTGCGACATCACACCTATTGAAAATTTGTTTGTGTCTAATCGTTTGGCGTCAGTATAAACAAACACGTAAACAAAAATTCAAGTAAAAATATCAACAATAAGTTCAAAAACTAAGCAAATTTCTTAACTTTTTTTCAAAAGAACGCCAAGAAGAAACATTCCAAATACGATCTGAACAAAATCCCCGGTAAAATGGACTGGGAATGACCCCAAAGCCATGTGACATGAAAAAACATGGCGGTCGCAACTTCGCGAATCACTCGATTCCGGTTTACTGAGGTTTATTTTACAAAAGATATATTGTATGGGAAAAATTTCCGGACCAAAACGTTTGTCCGGTTTAGAGAGAATTCCGGTATACTGAGGGTCCGATATAGAGGGGTTTCACTGTACATTGTTTTGTTTTTTTGTTGTTTTTGTTTGTTTGTTTGTTTGTTGTTGTTTTTTTGTGTGTGTGTTTTTTTGTTGTTTTGTTGTTTTTTTTAGTTGTTGTTGTTGTTTGTTGTTTTTTTTTTGCCACTTAGGAATTTTGTACACAACTCGCCACCACCCCCAGAGGCTAGTTTTGTTCTTAGTAAGATTCTTCGACGAAGTTTTCCAAGGTCGACAGTTTTAGGCTTTGAATCTCTTTTACTTAAAAAAAGACGAAAGATAACTACAGATAATCCGCAATACAATCTATCAAGCTTAGTGAACTTTACCTCGAATGTCTTTCATTGAAATCGAAAATATGGAGATTTAGGAAATATCAAGACCAAAAAACAGACTTGAAAACTGGTTGACGTGAGCAGAAAATAAGGTTTACTGAATATAATTAGGTATTTTACAGTTTTCCAAAAACAAAGCTTACGTTCATTTAAACTTGACAAGAACAACTGAGACAAAATAGAAAATAATGCAAAAGGCAATGCAAAATACAAAATGATGTCAGTAAATTGGCGTTTGTCAGTAAATTGGCGTTTGTAAATGTTTTTGAATAATTTTTAGCTTTTAAAAGTGAAAGTCTTGGTCTATATAATAACATCTCTCAACAACACAAATTTAAGCTCATTTTTATAATCATACTTGCTCGAAGAGCTTAATAAACAGTTGAATAATTGGTGTAAATTTATATTTCATTCAATAATTAAATAAATTATCAGTAGAAAGATATAAAATTATTGAATGAAAGTCTTCTTTGTTTTGCCGATGGGACCCCGCGATAGGAGGCGAACATGACAAAGGTGCATTTTTCTTGAACGAAAAACATACGATAGTTGGTTACAAACAACCGAATTGTTAAAGATTTACAAAGCTAAATAAAGGACGAATATATATTGTCGTAATATGCTCTTCGTGTTATATTTCATCCAGCATTAAAATAAATTAAACTTATCTATGAAAATAATAATAAAAGTTTTGAGAGTAGTCTTTGATTTGTCGATTTGTCGAGAAAAATGCTTTTCAAAAATATATATACGATTGTTTGCTAAAAAACACACAATCGAATTCTTGAAGAGCACTTCTTGATCCATCTTTGACTACATGAAAGTTTTTTTTAATTGTTTTTGGTCTATAACTTGTCCTAAAGCGTTTTTTTTCCTGTGCATTTGAGAGCCGCATTTGTGAGTAGTTTTGTTTTGATGTCAAGTGGGATTCCGTGTTGTGTACACGGACGGACGGACGGACGGAAATGACGTCAGCTAAGCCATGAATAGTCAACTCGATGGGTTTTTTTTTCTTAAGTATGGTGCTTTGCGCGGGAGCTCCGCTATAACTTTGTTTTACGGGTCAAGTAAAATCACATGCGCTAGAATTAAGATCTTGCTGGGTTTTCAGTTTTTGTTTTTGTTTTTGGATTTTTGTTTTGGTGTCTATTTGACTGCATTGCACATTCAGTAACAAGTATGTTGTGTTTCGGTAATGTATAATCACACTTAGAGGGGAAAACTACCGAAGAATTAGCTTCTTTTTCAAGCCATATTGCTCAGGGTCCGGAAAGGTATTCGCGGGAGTCGGGATACGAAAAAAATCCGCTACGTGATTCGGTATATTAGCATCGGTCTGACTCGGGAATTGCCTCGAATTTATGTCAGATATGCGGGATTTTGCTAGCTTTCTGATTATCGGGGGAAACGTGAAAACATAAATGAATAAAATAAATATTCAAACGCCTTTGAATATCTTGAATTTGTTCTTTTGACAATTGTCGCGGAATTCGGGAATTCAACGTGATTCGGAATCCAAACCCCACTTCCAAACCCTGATTGCTCGTAAACGCTTTTATTCCTGCGGAATGCCATGAATGACAAGAAGAGTCTGGAGTATATCGGTCTATAAGTGAGCCTTTAGGCCAAGTAAAAAAAAAGGATATTTCTCGCCCCTAGGCCTCCCGACTCACTTTTTTGGGCCGCCTATTTTCTTAATAACAAACAATATTAATCACGAGTAACATCAATATTAATGCTTTAAAATCTCAGTTAAAAACTCATCTTTTCAGGATAGTTTTTAAGGTATAGCTTGTAATTATCAATTATGATTTATGATTTAATTTTTTTGGAATATTACGCTTTTTGCTTTTTAGCTTAGTCTAACTTCGTTATCAGGAATGTATTACATAATTAAAGATGTATCAAACATTGGTATATTTTTTATTGATATTCAGTAATCGTTATCTTTTTTTTTTTTTCTTTTTTTTTTTNTTTTTTTTTTTTTTTTTCTTTTTTTTTTTACTTAACTTGTCAGTTTTTAATTATTATACATGCATCTAATTTGTTTTATTAATTTTTTCATTTACATTGTAAAGCGCTTCGCATTGTAAAGAACTTTTATATTTGCGCGCCATAAAAATAAAGCTTATTTATTATTTATTTTATTATTTGTTATTGGAAAAATCGGAACGAAACAAAAAGCAACAGAAGTTACTTTCACTTCGTACCCAGTTCTCCTTAATTGGGTACAAAGAGAATTCTCTAAATAAACATGGCTTTTGTCTGCATTTTGAATAAGTAAAAAGTCCGAAAATAAAGCGCCCACCGCTTTTTTAATAGAAACCGGACAAGACATTTTTTACTTCGCCTTACATCAGCTGTCATATCATAATAGGAAATAAAAGGCCCTTCATCATTATATGTTACTTCAATGACCCTCGGTGTGGGAAGAGGTTATTAAAAAACACCTGATATTATACTTATTTCAGTAGTCATAAAGTTCGACACTACGGTCAGATGTCAAATGTTATAAACAATGGCTTTCAGTCGAGGTAACACTTGATATGTTCATATATTTATTGTACAGTTGATCAACTTCAACCTCGGCTTGCAGTCATCGTTTCGTGGTCGCTAAAACGAATTCAAGAAAGGAATATTTTCTCAGGGCCCCTTTCTCAACGTTTTCTTTCAACAATCCTACAGGGCTTTTCCACGAAAGGTTGAGCCAAGAAAAGACAAAAAGGTTGGTACTTATAATGTAACGCAGCTCGAGTCGCAAATATATTATTATAAACTTTTTCCCGCCATATGCGACAGGCGTTTTGAGTGACGTGTTGAGTTTTTGATCACAGGACGGAAGGGGGGTGGGGAGGGGGAGAGAGATGTGTTATTTTCCCGCCAATATGCACCCGTACGCGTCTCTCCTATGCTTCGAGGGTTTTCCGGGTTCTCCGGCTTTCCTCCCTCCGCAAAAACCAACTTCTAAGTTCCAATTGGAATCCAGTGGAAGAAGAAAGAAGAGCCACTCTGTGGAATCCACTGTTAATCACATTATCTATTCATTATCATTAAATTAAACAAGCCTGTAATCAACGAACACAACGGTATTTCAAAAATCCGTAAAAGGTCTATTTAAGAATGGGATGATTTTTTTTTTCTTTAGCCTCGCCCTCTGTCATGGGCCAGTCCTGGTAACTTTACGATACACGATAAAGTAGAGATGGACTGGTTGGTAGCAGACCTCGAAAGTCTGAGTAACGTGGAGTCTGTGACAACCACAAGCGTGACCACTAAAACTCCGCTGACACCGGTTGGTGAATTATGCACTGCTGCGTCTTAGACGTCGCTGGTGGTGCACACATATTGTATATGCCTCTAAAAATATAGACCAGATTTCGTATGACTATGAAAACTTGAAAACGTGACGTGCCGTGACCGTGCTGTGGCTTTCGATTCAAGGGTGGTGTAGCGTTAGTATACTTGCCTCTCAGCTCTGAGGTCTCGGGTTTGATACCTTATCTCAGCATCACGTGTAAGTAGAGTTTGTTATGTCTCTCCCTTGATTCAAGGGTTTTTTTCTGGGTTCTATAGTTTATTTTCCTCTGCCAAATGTCGTACGGTTTCAGTCGCAGTCATACGGAATCTGAACACCGACTACTGTCCAATCCTTCTAATAAAAGGTAAAATACATTAAAGCTTTATTTATTTAATGGATAATTCACACCCCTAGCTTTCCCTGCCAGCTCTTCAAGCCCTACCCGTGCTTTAAGTTTGTATGGGGTTTACAAGGTGCCCGGGGGAATTAGTTTCATAAATTTGATTGGTCAAAAAACTAATTAATTATTCATGAATTTTATCACAGATAATACTATATTGATAGTTATAGATAACTTATTTAGAAACATATACCAGATAAGGTTTCAAATATTTTATAGATGGTCTGTAGTATAAACGAGATTTCTATAATTATATTATTAACTTAGGGATGATAAACAATAAAGTATAGATGTTAACATATATTTGTTTCGTAGCCAGTCATGATGATAAACGTTAGACTGTATTGAATCAAGAGGGATACACAAGGGTTAGAGTATTGGGGTCTGTCAAGGATCCTGGGAAACGTTGATTGATTGATTGATTGATTGAATTTTAATGAAAGAGGTTGCCTTCAAAATAAATTTAAATGCAAGAATAACATGGAAATACAAAATAAACAGCAAAAATCCCATGGAGTTAAAGTGTAATTTCTTTTGCCGCATTTTTCAGTTTGCTTCGCATCCAAAATCATCTTAAACGGCTCTATTATATCAAGTTAATTTTATATCGCTCAAAGACTTAATTACCTCGATTTCAAAATCAAGCTTTATTTGCGTTTCAGTTTGTTTGACTGAGTAAACTATTAGACATTCCAAAGCCGAAAATAAAACTGGGTCGAGTTGGTATTGCAGTGCATTGTGAGGCTATTTTAGAGGACATATTTCTAAGATGGCGTCTATTTCGTTCGTTTCTATCTGTGGGTTGGTTTGTTGGTTGGTGGGTGGCTGGTTCATTGGTGGGTTGTTTGGTGAGTGGGTGGGTGGGTGGGTTTGTTGGTCGGTTGGTTGGTCGATTGGTTGGTTGGTTGGTTAGTTGTTTTTTAATGGTGGGCTGGTTGATTGGTCTTGGAAGGTGGATGGTTGTTGGTGAATTGGTTGGTTGGGGTTCTTTTGGTATCTTGGTAGGTTGGTTGGTCGGTGAATGAGTGGCTAGGTGGGTTGGTTGGTTTGACAATCTAAATAGCCTCATTACAAATCCAGTACAAAGCGTCAGTAGAGAATTAAACTGACTTCGAGCCACAGAAAACCTCTCCTTCAAGACCGTCTTGAAAAGATCTGTTCGAAAGGCATGTATAACTGGATTGAGAAATGAATTCACGCACACACAGAAAGGAATAAGAATTTCTGTAGCGATTTCTTGAAAAGTACTACTTGAAAATTTCTTGCGATCTGAAATGATAATAAGACCAGAGAAAAGAAGCGGAGCGACGAAAAAGATGATATTGCTTCCAACCAGAATTCCAATTCTTTTAGCAAGTTTTGATTCTCGCTTGACACCTGCTCTTCCAGCCGCGCGTCTCACAGTTATAAAGATACAAACGTACAAAATAAAAGATACCACGTAGAACAATATTCCTATAGAACCTATTGTTAACGTGAACACAAAAATGTTCGCTGTCGTATTAACACTTAAGCGAATGGGAATACACATAGTCAAATACGAGTATTGATATAATTCATAATAAAGCGACCAGCCATATGCAGTCAAGAAGGCAGACAACAGCCAACAAACGAAGATTAAAGTCATTGCCATACGACGAGTGATTCGAATGTTAGGATTAAGACTGTAGACAATAACGAGATACCTTTCTAGAGTTAACAAGAATGAAGTGATAACACTCCCTGCTTGTCCCAACATCCACAGAAAACCGATCAAAGGACAGCCCTCTGAATGAATGTACGAGAATGTTGTATTGCTTAAATATACTCCAATATGCAGATAATATATGCCTATAAGCAAGTCACTCAAGGCCATATTACCTACGAACAACATAGAGACATTCTTACGTAGATGCGTAGACGTCATGATATTCCAAAATACTACGAGATTAAGGAGCGCTGCCAAAAAACCTATAGAGCTTTGGCATTTGATTACAACAATTTTTTCTTTCCAACAGCTATTCTCAATATAGTAAGTATAGAAATTTATCTTATTATGCTTACATTTGAAAATATTACGGTTGTTGCATTGAATATGAAAATAGCTACCGTTGAGTAGCTGTGCTACGGATGATAGCATGTTCACGCTATGTCTTCGTAGGTAACACCCAGATTTGTCAACAAAAGGTGCCAGTGGKGTCCACGTTAAGTTACTTCGATTAAATGAACAATAACCACAGTATCCTTCCGACTTATACGATGGCAGGATTACGTCAGTGATGTGTTTCAGCTTAGGCAGTTCAAGAAGCGGTTTATCTAGTACCCAGTACTCGATCCCTGTAACGTACAGCACTGACAGCGAGAAGAGTAGGCCTGATAGGTTCCCTTTTATTGAACGAAGAGGATTGTGAGAAAGACATCTGTAGGAAAGAAAGAAAGATGAGTGCGTTTTGCGCTTATTAATAAAGTAAAACTTGACTTGATCAAAAGCCTAAGGCGCGGACTAGTATTCAAAGTACCGCAAAGTGACTAGTAGATCTCTTTACCACCTACTGTCTTCTTTTGTGTCTATTTGACTATCAATCATGAACAAGTAATTATTGTTTAACGGGTTATTTTGGGTCGTTAGTCACGTACGAGAATTATGGCATTGCAAAAGGAAAAACAAAACACCCTAAAAAAATAATCTCAATATTGAGCTCCCGTAAAACCCACGGCGTCGCTCTTTGATAGATTTTATTCGTGAAATCGTGTAACTCTTGAGGATTTCCTGCTACTTACAAAGTTGTTAAGTTTTTGAGGCCTTCAAATGCTTTGTACGTCAAAGTACTAATATTGTTGTACGCCAGGGATCTGAAACACGAGTCGGCAGAGATATCAATGGTTGGTATTATATATTCACATGGTTGGTCGAGAACTGTTATGTATAGTAAAACGTGCTAACGCTATCCGCACACCCACGATCTGTAGCTTTGCAAAGAAGTATAAATAAACAGCACTGTCTTAAACGCATTATTACTGTATTCACATAGCAACTAGAGATAGATAGATGATCTTTATTTTGACACGATAAAAATGAAAGCTAAAAAGCTTGCAGGGTCGTGTATACATACATAATTGACAAAGTACAAGGCTTAAAGATTTATAAGACATTGAGTAAGAAGTCTAATATTATACTAAGGCTCGGAAAAACCTAACCCATTCTGAAAATATCCCATCCCACCAAAACTAATCGATTATATGATAATATTAATAGATCTAGACAGGTAAGCCATTAAAGCACTTGCATTATAGACTTACAGATATATAAGATGCGGATAGCCAACTAGAGAACTGTCTGGCAGTTCTTGTAAGTTATTGTGCATCAGATTTCTAAAACATATACAGAGTAACTGAGATCTTTGCAACAATTTCAAAACATAATATGCATAAGCAAAATTACTCGATTTTATTTGGTCGAGATCTAAAGCAGTATTTCGACGCAGTTCGACAATGCGGTGGCCATCTTGGATTGCAAGGCATTATGGGGCGACCAGGGGACAAATAGAGGTTTGTTACAGTAATGAGCTCAATAGACCCCTTCACGGTTCCCTGCGCCATCTTGAAAGGTAGCCGGGCCTTTTCATCGAAGCGAGACAAACGGTAAGCTTGCAATGGTAGAGTCCTTTTTTTAACACCTTGGACAATTATTCACAGGTTATCATTGCAAGCTCACCGTTCATCTCGCTTCGATGAAAAGGCCCGGCTACCTTTCAAGAAGGCGCAGGGAACCGTTAAGGGGTCTATTGATAGTAATAGCTCACAAGAGAATACTTCAAAAGATTAATTGAGAGGGCACATCGATTACCTTTATCATAAAAGAAAGACAAACACACGACACACTAAATGTTTTCCGTTATCTTTGTCTCGTTTTGCCCCCTGGAAAGATGGACGCCGTATCGTCGAAGTAGTTAATTGTACTCCGGCGTGAGAGTACTTATACGGACAACAGCGGCAAACGTGAAAGAAAACAACAGTTGCCAACAATCTTTTATTGATGAAAACTACGAATATTTTTGTTAAAAAAGGCAACTAAAAAAATTGATTATTAAATGTTTAGTATTCTTGATTATAATGTTGTGTATGTAAAAATGTGAACAAAGAGAAGCAGAAAAATGACATATTTTTTTGTACTATGTTGAGTGTTTTAGAAATAAAAAATCGCAAAATCTTCTCGTATAATTCTGAATTTATAGATACTCGTGATATTTTGAAAGTTCTTACATTGCACTCGCCTAAAGGCTCGTAAAATTATAAGAACTTTCAAACATCACTCGTTTGACTAACAAAGTGTGCCATGACATAGTAAGGATTTGTTCTTTCAGGGATCGATCAAGTTAAGGCTAGTTAATGATATACTTACAAATGCGTAACGTTATTTTTACCAGCCATTAGACTCTCCATCTCACAGACATGCATAATCTTGCAGACCACATGGACGGGGTGAATCGACGAGGAAAGCACACTACAGTGACTAGAGTTGTGTACTTTGCATCGCATTTTATTTGATAGTGGTTTGAAGTCGTTGGTACATTTTAAGTTCAAAATCATGCATGATGATAATATCCATAAAAAAGTGTAAGCGCGAAGAATATCCATTCTGTCTGACAGCGCAGGAAAAAATGGAAAAAAAAAAATTTCTAGTCCATGGTTAAATGTTTGATGTACGTCAATGAACGTCCGGAGTTCTTGAAAGAATAGCTTTGATATTATCACCCCAAGTGTTGTCAAGAGACAACAGCCAAAATATATTCTTGGCAGCCCATTAGTTTTCTTCCAGCTCCTTTTCATTTCTGATTGTATTATGCAATACAGAGTCAAATACTATAAGCACCACTTTAGCCGTTAGCCTCTCATTGCTTTCTATTTATATCGTGCACGAATCACACCTTGAAAGACTATAATATCAAAGCCATACTTTAAAGAACTCCACATTCCCCCACAAACTTTGGTCTTGGAATACACTATTCAGTATGCAGTATTCAGTATTCAACCTTTTCTGAAATAGCTGCATGCGAGATAGAAACTTTCGGCTACGCCTCCAGCTTATATATCCATACAACAAGGCCACTCAGACTGTATTTAATACATCAAGAGCTATACGTAAAACTACATCCGGACTTTCATTGACGTACATCAAACATTTAGCCATGGGCTAGAAAGATTTGTTTTCATTTTTTCCTGCGCTGTCAGACAGAATGGATATTCTTCGCGCTTACACTTTTTTATGGATATTATCATCATGCATGATTTTGAACGTAAAATGTGCTAACGACTTCAAACCACTATCAAATAAAATGCGATGCAAAGTACACAACTCTAGTCACTGTAGTGTGCTTTCCTCGTCGATTCACTCCGTCCATGTGGTCTGCAAGATTATGCATGTCTGTGAGATGAAGAGTCTAATGGCTGGCAAAAATAACGTTACGCATTTGTAAGTATATCATTGAATAGCCTTGACTTGATCGAACCATGAAGCAACGTCTGCGCTGATTAAAGTCGCGCCTTAGGTTTGTAAGAATCGCACCCTGAAACAAATCTTGTTCTTATGTCAGTCAACACACGGCCTCTCAGGTGGAATTCATTATGTGGAATATTAAAAGTCGACCAATAAGTTCTTTTTCTTAACTCGGACTCTATTAGAAACGTTATTTATAATAGCAAACGCGTTCAAATCTGCCAAATGCCTCAGTTTACTTCAATACGATGGTCTTCGAAATGTAAACCTGTGATTACGTAATCAATTGCATTGGACAATAATCGATTTTTGGCAAGGTCAACACGTTGAATCAAAGGATTTTACTTGATTTATCTTTTTCTATAAAACCTATTAAGCTCAATTCCAATTCAATCTGTGAGTTAGCCGCTCCCCTGACTCTGATCAACCCAGAGGTTGTTTAATTTCTAGGAATCGATCTGTGAGTTAGCCATGCCCTGACTTAGATCAGCCCAGAGGTTGTTGCAGGGTTCCATCTGTGAGTTTGCCGTGCCCTGACTTAGATCAGCCCAGAGGTTGTTTCAGGATTCTATCTGGAGTTAGCCGTGCTCTGACTTTTGATCCAACCGTCTCGGAGGTTGTTTGAGGGTTCTATCTCTGAGTTAGCCGTGCACTGACTTTGATCAGTCAGGGTCAAGGTTCATACGATATCCCAACATTGAGCAAGCACTTTTGAGGTTCCAAATCTAGATCAGTTACTTTCTTAAATGCGCTAAGATCTTTTAACGTAAGTTAGAATTTTGATTTCTGTATATCTTAGATACCTGACGCACAATAGCTTGCAAGAACTGCCAGATGGTTCTCTAGTTGGCTATCCGCATCTTATATATCTGTAAGTATATAATGCAAGGCTCAATGCTTTAACGGCTCACCTATCTATTTGCCGTATATTTGCTATATTATATTATTATATGTTATGATGCATTTAAATTTTCAATGCAGCTGTTTATTTATACTTCTTTGCGAATATATAATACATTCATCAATATCTCTGCCGACTCATATTTCAGATCCCTGGCGTACAACAATATTAGTACTTTGACGTACAAAGCATTTGAAGGCCTCAAAAACTTAACAACTTTGTAAGTAGCAGGAAATCCTCAAGAGTTACACGATTTCACGAATAAAATCTATCAAAGAGCGACGCCGTGGGTTTTACGGGAACTCAATATTGAGATTATTGTTTTAGGTTATTTTGTTTCTCCTTTTGCAATGCCATAATTCTCGTACGTGAGTAGACAAAACAACACAAAAGAAGACAGTAGGTGGTCAAAAGATCTACTAGTCACTTTGCAGTACTTTGAATACTAGTCCGTGCCTTAGGCTTATGATCAAGTCAAGTTTTACTTCATTAATAATCGAAAAACGCACTCATCTTTCTTTCTTTCCTACAGATGTCTATCTCACAATCCTCTTCGTTCAATAAAAGGGAACCTATCAGGCCTACTCTCCTCGCTGTCAGTGCTGTACGTTACAGGGGTCGAGTACTGGGTACTAGATAAACCGCTTCTTGAACTGCCTAAGCTGAAACACGTCACCAACGTAATCCTGCCATCGTATAAGTCGGAAGGATACTGTGGTTATTGTTCATTTAATCGAAGTAACTTAACGTGGACCCCACTGGCACCTTTTGTTGACAAATCTGGGTGTTACCTACGAAGACATAGCGTGAACATGCTATCATCCGTAGCACAGCTACTCAACGGTAGCTATTTCCATATTCAATGCAACAACCGTAATATTTTCAAATGTAAGCATAATAAGATAAATTTCTATACWTACTATATTGAGAATAGCTGTTGGAAAGAAATGCTCATTGTAATCAAATGTCAGAGTGCTGTAGGCTGTTTCGTAGCGCTTCTCAATCTCTTAGTATTTTGGAATATCATGACGTCTAAATATCTACGTAAGAATGTCTCCATGTTGTTCGTAGGTAATATGGCCTTGAGTGACCTGCTTATAGGCGTCTATGTTCTGCGTATTGGAGTGTATTTAAGCGGTACAACATACTCCTACTTCGACTACGAGTCACGGCATGATTGTCAATTGATTGGTTTTCTGTGGATGTTAGGACAAGCAGGGAGTGTTATCACTTCATTCTTGTTAACTCTAGAAAGGTATCTCGTTATTGTCTACAGTCTTAATCCTAACATTCGAATCACTCGTCGTATGGCAATGATTTTGATCTTCGTTTGTTGGCTGTTGTCTGCCTTCTTCACTTGCTGGTGTTTTTACTATGAATTGTATCAATACTCGTATTTGTGTATTCCAATTCGTTTAAGTATTGATAAGAAAGAAAAGATTTTTGTGTTCACGTTAACAATAGGTTCTATAGGAATATTCTTGTGCTTGATATCTTTCATTTTTTACATTCATATCTTTGTTACCGTCAGGCGCGCGGCTCAAAGAGCAGGTGTCAAGCGAGAATCAAAACTTGCTAAAAGAGTTGCTATTCTGGTTGGAAGCAATATCATCTTTTATATCGCTCCGGTTCTTTTCTCTGGTATTACTTTCCTTTCAAGTTCCAGTAGCAAGAATATGAGTGCTTTGCAACAAATCGCTACAGAAATTGTTAGTCTTTTCTGCTTGTGCGTGAATTCATTTCTCAATCCAGTTATACATGCCTTTCGAACAGATCTTTTCAAGACGGTCTTGAAGGAAAGATTTTCTGTGGCTCTACTGACGTTTCGTAGTGGATTTGTAATGAGGCCAGTTAACCAACCAACCAACCAACCAACCAACCAACCAACCAACCAACCAAGACAAATGACACGTGATCTGTAATGGGAAAATATTTTCCCTAGATATTTTAGGTCCATTGTCGTTCTATCTATTGTATTAGGTGTAAATTAATTGAAAAAGTCAGCAATAAAGTCTCTGTAGATGTTTAATTTTGCCAAATGATTCAAGAGCAAAAAAACTCCGTGACTGCGCGCGACGACCGACGTATGACGTTTCACGTGCGAAGTAAAATCATGAACTCTAGAAGATTTTCCTTTTTGTCTATTCGACTAATGTACGCATTCAATAAAAAGTAAGCTTTGTTTCACTTGTTAAGTATTTTCTTGAGGGATTCTCTTCATTCATCCTTTTTTTTTTCGAGTCAGTTAAAATTAACCATTGCTCTCAAGTAAGACCACTTTGTTCCTGAATGCCATTAATTAGTGCGAAGAAGAGGCTCTTGTGTATATTGATCTATTGGCGAGCTCAGTTATATCAGTTGTATTATACGAGGAAATGAAAGACGTCCTTCAGCATTAAAAGTTATACTTCAATGCTCTTCAGTATTGGAGGCGTCTTGTGCACAAAGAGTTTATCGAAAAACTTCAAACGACGTTCAAGTGTGTACGATATTATACTTATATGAAGTCATAAATTGGACATTAAAATATTTGATCAGATGTCAAAATGTTTAATATATTGTAAAGGAAGAATTCTTAATATAAATATATTCATAGGCGAAAATCCGTCAATGAATCAGTGAGCGCCAGAGAGACGGGATAAAAGACATTAATATGGGATAGCTGGAAAAGGAGATGTTAGGAAAAACAAAATGATTATGTTTCCTAAATCATCAAGAAACCGAAATGTCAAAGATAAAAGCAAAATCGGTAAATACTAATTGACATTTCGATAGTTAGTAAGCTTGGGTTTTGTTTTCTAGGTAAGGATATTGGAAGTGCTTGCCCCAATCTCAACTGATGAATATTAAGTAACTGGGCGCTGTCAGTAATCGACTGATAGCCCCACTTTGTAGCAATCGAATCTCTATTAATTTCGATTAAGGGAATTGGGAACTAGTTACGTATGTTATTTAATGTTAGCTAACCAATGAAAATCATTGTAAGAGATGTCAATCAAGCTTCTGCTTGAAGTCATCTCATTAAGTTTATCAACACTATTTAAGTGCATGCAGCACAGAATTTAGTTAGATTGAGTTAGTTGGTCAGAGATCGAATTGCAGTTGGTCAGAGAGTTGCAGTTGGAGCCAGAGTTGGAGCTTAAGTCACAGCTACAGGAATAAAGAACTAAAAGAAGAAGAAAGCCGCAAAAGCGACCAGAATCTGTGTTCGTAGGGAAGTAATGTTATGAGAGAGAAAATTATTGTTTTTACAGACTAAGCTAGACATCAGTTTTCTAATTACTATTTCTTATCGTATGAAAACAAGATAAAGAACGATTAATTAGTTATTAACAATATCGATATAAGATTTCAGTAAGGCTGTCATCACGCACAAGTATAGATAATGGTATGCTTTGAATTTACAAGTAAACCTCTTAGCTCCTCCCATTAGCATGTACACCTCTGGTTACGCCCTACACACTCTTTACCCCTTTGCTTAGTTATTTTAGCACTATTCTTTTAAATCTTATGTTAGAAATATTCCTCGTAGCCTTTTCTATACATTTATAATATATTCATATGTTAACTTTAGCTTAAGCTATGTTTAATTCTAAGATTTTTACTCGTATTACTCTTTAATAAAATATCAAGACTCAGCGATAATATCATATTGATTGTAGTATGACACCTGTCATGAAGTTATTATAAATAGAGCTCATGTAATTAGCTTAAGTCAGAGTCAGAGAAAGTATAATAAAGATCCCGGAGCTCGTCGGTCGCCCCATAACAGTAACACTCCCACATTTCCCCGTCCTGACAATATATAGGGTGTTTGCATAACGGCGTCATTTTACTACCATGAGATTGATTCGTGTATCTCCTTTTCTTTATCTTTCTGGGTTCTGGGTCATCGCCAACTATTTGGGACTTATGCGAACATTGTGGTCCGCGGTTTCTCATTGAATTTACTCGGATTCAAAATGACTCACATTAGGCTAAGCAGTGATTACTATCCACTCTTTATATATCGTTCCTATACTCTTGTAAAGCTATAGCTGATGGCGAAGGCAATGTAGTTTAACAGTTGAAGTAGGCAAATTGTGTAGGGGTAATTGAAACTGAATTATCGGCCTCTATATTCTCACATTTTGAGCTTTTGTTCAGGGTCATCGAAGGACTGTTCCTTAGTCGTTATGTTTTTGAACCCATTTTCTAAACATATTTTGCTGGCAATTAATGTAAATAGCTTTACAGAACTGTAGACATGTAAATGTATAATTTGATGGCATGGAGGCCAATTGTGTATCATCTATAGCAATGTCTTTATTTGTTGTTCAATTTTCTGAGCCCATACAATATCTATGTATTTACAAGCCATGTTTGATTTACTCATGTGTAACTCTGCTGAGGGAGCGCGGGCTCAAAAAGTCCCAAATAGTTGGCGATGTCAATAACTGTTCCTTTTTTACTGGCATTTTGGGTGGGGGGGGGGGGGGGGGGGGGGGGGGTGGATTTGTGAATTGTAAGAAGAAGTATGAGCAAGCATTAAGCGCAAGTGCTAAATTAAGGGCAATTAATTTCTGGAGAAAATTTATGAATTGTGATAGCGAAATTACTGAGAATGGTTAAGCGAAGAATAGAAATTCAATGTTATCATAAACCCCAACAAACCAATCCAAAAAGTATTAGCTAAATATATACATGACTGTTTTAAAAAGAGGGATAATCTAAAGCAATAAAATCTTTGACAAATTTAACTACTGAAAAAAGCCGGGAAAAGACATTAAGATATAAAATAATTCAATAGACTAATATATATTGACTTCTTGTTTATAATAATATCAGCGATCGCCGCCCATCGATCTATTTATATTGGCAGCAATCCAATGTAAATATGTTTATACGGAGCCAATAAAATACTTTGTCTTGCCCTTTGTCTTGTCTATGACCCCTTCTCAACCTGACTTTTTTTTGCGGGGCCCCTATCAAAACATTACTTTTGCTAACTATTTTTGGGTCCCCCTCCCCCACCC